TGTTCTTTTAATTAAATAATAATAGAACTTTATTGATCTCACATTGGAGAAACTTAACTCTGCATCTAACGATTCCTCTTGGGGAGCAGTGGGCTGCCATCGTGGAGCGCCCAGGGAGCAGTGTGGGGTTAAGGATCTTGCTCAGAGACCCAGAGTGGCAGTCTGTGGGAGTGGGCCCAAACTCAAAACTCATAATAATATAATATTATTATTATTTAATAAGCGCCCGGTATTTCAAACGTTTAAGACGTGGTGCGTTTTGACATGGTTACAGCAGCGTGACAGACCTCATCTGTGGGACTCTGGGACTTCTACACATCTTAACCCACCTGGAGATTTTAAAGATGTAGTGATGTTAATCAAAATCCACATTAGGGATGCACGATATAATCGGCCCCCTATCGGTATCGGCCTTAAAACTGAATATCGGACATCGGCCACCCCACCGATATTTAACCCGATATTTGATCAGCTTCTGAGTTTCTAAAGTCTAAAAAAAAAAAATAAAAAATACTACTTCTTCTTCCTCAAAAACTTCTTTCTTACAGACTTAAAAACTTCTAAAGACGAGGGAAAAAATATTGATACATTAAAATATCCCAATATCTTCATATGCTGATATATTGCCATTTAAAAACACCATATCAATCTCTTTTACTAATGAAATATTGCTATATGTCATCGTTATGCTACGAAATCCCCCGAAAATTCACAAAATTTTGCCATATTTTTATATGTTGATATATTGACGCGGTATCGATCTATTTTACTGACAAAATCTCACAAGAATTTGCAAAATATCACAAGAGTTTGTAACAGAACGATGAAATTTCATGAGATTTTGAAAGTAAAATAGATCGATATTTTTAAAAATCAATTTGATATCAGCATATGAAAATATATTTGAGTATATTATTTTTAAGCACCCGCGGATCGGTGCGGCTGCTGCAATAATGCGGACGCTGCACCGGTCTGTCGTGGCGAAGAGAGAGCTGAGCGAAAAGGCAAAGCTCTCAATTTACCGGTCGGTCTACGTTCCTACCCTCACCTATGGTCATGAAATCTGGAACATGACCGAAAGAACGAGATCCCGGATACAAGCGGCTGAAATTAGCTTTCTCCGCAGGGTGGCTGGGCTCTCCCTTAGAGATTCGGATGCCGCCTGGACGCCTCCCTTGGGAGGTGTTCCAGGCACGTCCCACTGGGAGGAGGCCCAGGGGACGACCCAGGACACGCTGGAGAGACTATGTCTCTCGGCTGGCCTGGGAGCGCCTAGGGCTTCCCCCAACAGAGCTGGAGGAGGTGTCAGCGGAGAGGGAAGTCTGGGAGTCTCTGCTTAGTCTACTTCCCCCGCGACCCGGTTCCGGATAAAGCGGGAGACGACGAGTACGATATTATTTTTCAAAGTGTCAAAAAATGGATAACAAAACTGCTATTTTCAATGACTACTTATTTTTGTCCAGCTTTAACATCGGTATCGATATCGGTTATCGGCTACATGAGTTTTAAAATATCGGCATATCGGATATCTGCCAAAATCCCAATATCGTGCATCCCTAATCCACATATTTATATTTATGATGGTAAAACAGGGAAGTTCTAACATCCCAACTTAATGAACTGCTTTGCATGTTGAAACCATCTGAATTTAGTTATGGAGATTCTCTGGCTGGCTCGAGCGGTAAGTCAAGCCTGCACTGCAAAAAATGTTAATCTAAGTTAGTGATTATTTCTTAAAATAAGTGGATTTTTTTTTCTTAAATTGAGCAGGTAAGTGAGACACTTTGCCAATGGAATAAGACCATTAACATTTAAAATAAGAAAAAACAACTGAAGTCTCTTATTTCAAGTGCATAATATCTAATTATCTTATTTCAAGGGTAAAAATGCTCATTCCATTGGCAGATCATCTTATTTTCCGGCTTAAATTAAAGGTGAATACACTTATTTTAACACATTCTTACTCATTTGTAGAATGTTTTTGCAGTGTGGGTTCATATCCCAGCTGGGGGGAATGAGCTGCCACACTGGAAAAACGATCTAGAAATAAGTAAAAATGTCTTAAATTAAGTGTATTTACCCTTAATTTGAGTAAGTAAATAAGATAATTTGCCAATGGAATGAGTATTTTTACTCTTAAAATAAGATAATTAGATAGAATGCACTTGAAATAAGACAATGCAATTGTGTTTTCTTATTTTAAGTGTAAATTGTCTTGTTCCATTGGCAAAGTGTCTCTTTTACCTCCTTAATCCAAGAGCAAATGCACTTATTTAAAGAAAAAATGACTTATCTAGATTTTGATTTTTTTCCAGTGCAGTGTGGGTCCTTAGGCAAGACCCTTCATGCTAATGCTTGCTTTGGGGTTCCTTTGCAGTGGCGGTCTAGTGTGCTTGTAATCCTGAGGTTCTCCCACAGCCATTCTGGGTACCTGGGTACTCTGCTCCCCAGGTGCCACACAATGGTAGCCCACTGCTCCCCAAGGGAATGCTTTAAAAACAGACAGCTCAGTTTTCTTTGCTCTGTACTTTTGACAGTTTAATGACAATAAAAGCTAGAAAAAAAGAAGAGATTTACAGACTTAAAGATGTCAATCTGCACTATAGGTCTCTGATATAGAGCTTCTGATGTTATTTTAAATTTTTTTTAACCATTTCCAGTTGTATTAGCCTTTTTATTATTGCTCTGCCTGTAAATATGGACCCATTTAGGTGGGTAGCAGACAGTGATTTACTTTAATGGCATTCCCATCTCAGTTTCTGAGCCTCTGTGTTTCCTCACATTCGCTCCTCTGTTATTTTAATCCAGAACAAATGCTCTCAATTTGAAGGTTATCACTGTTTACATTTATTAATCATCACTTTCATTGCTTTAAAAGTTGTATTTGAGGCTCTTTTCACACATCTTAGCAGGACCTCAGATGGAGATCACAGATGTGTTGAGAGGTGCAGGAAATATCGGTTACAGAGAAAATAACCCAAACATAATCAGTTACTGCAAGCTTGTTTTAGTTACTGTGACTCGTATCTTTACACGATCTAGTTTGACTTCTAGAAAATGTCAAACTTGATCGATTCTAAAGCCAAAAATAACAAAGATCTCCTTTTTTGGATGTATAAAACAGACGTCTGTAGGCAGCTTAAAATATGAACCTGCCTGCTGATTATTTGTCTTTTTAAGACATATTTAAAAGCTGATATGCTTCTCCTCATAAAAAGGGGACTTTTTTATGCCTCTTAGCTCAAATCCCTCTTGGCTTCTCCTGCGATGTGTCTGAACGAGCCTCTCCGCTGTGATCCTTCCAACAGGAAGATTTATGAGCAGGGCTGACAGAGGGGGCTGTAGAACCCCCCCCCCCCCCCCCCCCCCCCCAACAGGCCCAGGGCGACTCAGCCTCCTCTCCCAGGTGCATGCAGCCCTCCAGACATACCTGTCAACTTGGGGAGCAGGGGTGCAGATGGGGGAGGCATCCACCCAGCCTCATCTCTCCCCTCCCATTTGTAAAATGTCAGACACTACAAATTTTCCTTTTATTGGCGATGATCCCGCCCTCCTCCTGGAACTTTGGCTTCTCGGATTCTGACTGAAGTTCAGCATTTGTGCCGCTGACGCCCTTGTTCCTGCCTCAGATCGATGCCTGCGCCCGAGGGGGGGAAACACAGAGATCGCTTTTGTGCGTTTGTAGCAGGGTTAATGAGGAAGGTTTTTGCTGAAAACGGAACAAACATTTCCCCGGCACAAAGGGGGAGAACAGAAAGAAAAATGGAAACTGTCTTCCTAAGAAGGGAAGAGAAAGCATCGCATTTATCTCTGAATGTGAGTGCACCTGTGCTGGCACAGGCACAAGGGTTGGGTGACCCAGTTCATTAGTTCTCCAAAGTAAATGTATCACACAAACGCTGCTCACAAAGCCCGGTTATGTGTGGTTTATTCAGTCTTTTATTTATTGTGGCAGTCACAGCTCGTTGCCACCCCCTTCACCTCGCTATCTCTCTGCAGACACAATGGTGGCATTGATGCACGTGATCCAAAGCGTTCAGCCGAGGGTTTCTGTCCATGTTTCTCCTTTCATGGCTGAGCAGTACATCTTAAGGAGCGAGGCCAGGTGAATACCTGTGCAGGTGTTTGCACAGACAAAGACAAGCGGATATGTCTGTCAAGACCCCTGCAGGACCGCAGGAAAAAAATAAAGCCTGGCTGCATTTGTTGACTTTGCTTTGCACTGATTGATTTGTGCTTCCTTGTGTTATTTGGAGCTGAAGATATTTTCCTTTTCAACTCTTAAGAAGTAGGCGGCAGTTTTGCAAAGTTCTCCAATGGCTTTAGATCTACAGGTGCATCACAATAATTCAGAATATCATTAAGAGGCTACTTTCTTCTTAGTAGCTGTTGTGTATTTAGATGTATTACACACAGAGGCATACATTTTAAAGTATTTCTTTCTATTAACTCTGACGAAAACCAAAACACATTTTTTCAGAATGTTAGAACGTATCAAAATCAGTAAAAATAAACATTAGTGTGTGTTTTTATCCACTCTATAGATAATTGGACTAATATTTTAAACTTAGATATCTTTATGTTTCATTCCTATATTTTGTAAATTCTGCAACAAAAGTCTTGTGGTCGCAGACTTCCAAGATTCTGCACTGCCAGAAATTTAAACCTCATTAATAATTTTTTTCTAAAAATAAGTGCATTTTTCTTGAATTGAGGCAGTAAGTGAGACACTTTGCCAATGGAACAGGACAATTTACATTTGAAATGAGATTTCAAGTCTGATTTCAAGTGCATATTATCTAATTATCTTATTTTAAGAGTAAAAATACTATATCCATTGGCGCATTTTGTTATTTACCTGCTCAAATTAAGGCTAAATACACATAATATAAGAGATTTTTTATGATTTCTACGTCATTTTTGCAGTGTGAGCTTACTGCCTCTCAGAAATAGTTATTTTTTTACATAGTTTCTCATTTGCTCTTTTCTTACTTTTACAGTTTCTGCGTGTGGACCAGGATAAGGAGTGCAACATGGATTGCACCGGAGCTCCTCAGAAACCCCTGTGTGCCTCTGATGGCCGAACCTTCACATCTCGCTGCGAGTTCCTCAGAGCCAAGTGCCGCGACTCCCAGCTGGAGGTCAGCCGAGGGCCGTGCAAAGGTCAGGTCACGAGTCACGCTTCAGCGATGCCCGGTGATCTCAAACACCGGGGGGTTAGAAGGTTCTGACTTCAATTCATTTCAGCATAATTGAATCTTTGAGCGCTAAGAACACTAGTGGGTTTGACACTGAGAGAGTGGGTGGTTGGAGGGGAGAGAGGGGAGGGGGACTTCAGCCTGGATGGGTTTTGAATCAAATTTTTTTATTACAAATGAAACTAAATTGTTTGCGCCAATGTCATTTCTTTGGCCCGATACCGATATTGCCATCATGGCTTTGTCAAGCTGCTGCCTACCTTTGTGAAGCAGGAAAAAGACTAATACAAAGTGAATCCAGTAGAACTTTTTATTGCCTACCTGGAATGGATGACAATAGTTGAATAAACTTTTGCCTCTCAAAATGATAATGGTGCCCTATTTGTGTAGCCTCGTGAGACCATCCTAATCTTGCAAATTTTCAAGATTTCACTCGCTAATCAGTCTGGAGACTCTCCGTTGAAGAAAATTTGGAGCCGTTCACCAAACGAACGTCCAATCAGCGTTGGCTTTGAGGTGGGTTGAGGTGTGACGCAACAAGAAGCGCGACAGTTCAGTCTAAAGAACATGGCGGCTTCATCCGATGAAACTAGCGTTAGCATGGCTATCGAGCAAGTTTTATCGGAATTACAGAGTATTTCTTCACTGAAAGAAGAGCAAAACACTGCTCTGGAGGCTTTTCTCAGAGGAAAAGATGTTTTTGCTCTTCTCCCGACTGGTTTCGGCAAGAGTAGCCTGGCTGTTAGTACGTCATATGCTTCGTTGATCTGATTGGTTTATTTGGCCCGTCTATCACCAACATAGGCCAATCAGCTAACCAGTATTTTCGCCCCTTCCCAAATTTACTGCAACGGAAGGTTTCCAGATGGATATGCGGAGCAAATCCTTCTGGCGGACTTCTGGGTACTTGCCTATGCCGAAACCACAATTTTAGAGCTGGATCGGGGCCCCGCCCGATACTGGTATCGGTATCGGTGCAACACTGGTAAAAATATAATAAATTGTGGAAAGGTTATTAAATTTTAAGTAAATTCAATCCCTTTTTAATACAACAGCTATAAACGGGCAGCGCAGTGGAACAGTGTGGAGTAAGGCTGAACAATTTTGCCAATTTTCCCTTGCATTAACCAAAATCCTGGAAATGTTTCAATACAGGGTTTCATTTTTTTCCAGACCTGGAATGTTTGAGTCCAGATTCCTTTTTTGCAGGACTTTACTATAACCTTTTGTCAAGAAGTGATAAATACTACCTGCATGCTAGCTGCACTTCTCTCTTTCCGTCTGCGTGGTAGCGAACCCACTTTATGCAGATTACCACCAGCTAACGGGCTGGAGGGATAAATGTAGCTATTTACTCTTTTAAATTTTATATGGTCAAAAGTGATTGGCCCTGCAAATTTTTTTTTTATAGCAATTATATTGCTAATGCAAGTAATTGCCAAGCCCTAAAATGGAGCACTGTTGCCTTGCAGCAAGAAAGTTCCAGGTTTCTGCATGAGTTTGGATGTTTTCTCCACGAATGATCAGTTTTCTGCAGATATTGTCCTTAGGTGTTACTGTGTGGGTCTGTTTGTATACGTCTATATGAGAAAATGGATGGATGGATGGATGGATGGATGGATGGATGGATGGATGGATGGATGGATGGATGGATGGATGGATGGATGGATGGATGGATGGATGGATGGATGGTAGATAAATGGATGGATGGATGGATGGATTGATGATAGATAAATGGATGGATGGATGGATGGATGGATGGATGGATGGATGGATGGATGGATGGATGGATGGATGATAGATAAATGGATGGATGGATGGATGGATGGATGGATAAATAGATGGATGGATGGATGGATGGATGGATGGATAAATGGATGGATGGATGGATGGATGGATAAATAGATGGATGGATGGATGGATGGATAAATAGATGGATGGATGGATGGATGGATGGATAAATAGATGGATGGATGGATGGATGGATGGATGGATAAATAGATGGATGGATGGATGGATGGATGGATGGATGGATAAATAGATGGATGGATGGATGGATGGATGGATGGATTGATGATAGATAAATGGATGGATGGATGGATGGATGATAGATAAATGGATGGATGGATGGATGATAGATAAATGGATAAATAGATGGATGGATGAATGATAGATAAATGGATAAATAGATGGATGGATGGATAAATAGATGGATGGATGGATGGATGGATGGATGGATGGATGGATGGATGGATGGATGGATGGATTGATGATAGATAAATGGATGGATGGATGGATGGATGATAGATAAATGGATAAATAGATGGATGGATGGATGGATGGATGATAGATAAATGGATGGATGGATGATAGATAAATGGATAAATAGATGGATGGATGGATGATAGATAAATGGATAAATAGATGGATGGATGGATGGATGGATGGATGGATGATAGATAAATGGATGGATGGATGGATGGATGGATGGATGATAGATAAATGGATAAATAGATGGATGGATGGATGGATGGATGATAGATAAATGGATGGATGGATGGATGGATGGATTGATGATAGATAAATGGATGGATGGATGGATGGATGGATGGATGGATGGATGATAGATAAATGGATGGATGGATGATAGATAAATGGATAAATAGATGGATGGATGGATGGATGGATGGATGGATGATAGATAAATGGATAAATAGATGGATGGATGGATGGATGGGTGGATGGATGGATGGATGGATGGATGATAGATAAATGGATGGATGGATGATAGATAAATGGATAAATAGATGGATGGATGGATGGATGGATGGATGGATGGATGGATGGATGGATGGATGGATGATAGATAAATGGATAAATGGATGGATGGATGGATGATAGATAAATGGATGGATGGATGGATGGATGGATGGGTGGATGGATGGATGGATGGATGGATGGATGGATGATAGATAAATGGATGGATGGATGATAGATAAATGGATAAATAGATGGATGGATGGATGGATGGATGATAGATAAATGGATAAATAGATGGATGGATGGATGGATGGATGGATGGATGGATGGATGATAGATGTGGAAGAATGTGTTCTGGTCAGAAGTGACCAAAATTCTGGCTTGCATGTGATTTTCATTGCAAAAGAAAATAGATATTGATCGATGAGACTAAACTTGATCCATTTTGCAAAGAACTAAAAAAAAAGAATATTAATCTCTTTGAAGCCAAAAGAAAAACCCAGAAAGACTTCTAGCTGTAATTCAAACAAAAGCTGCTTCTATAGATGGAAGCTAAAAGCAAATGGTTATAAATATTCAAATAAGTCTTTGGTTATAACATTTATTTTTTCCAAAATCTCTGAGTTGAATGAACTCATGGAACAATGGGATGAAAAGCTCATATACTCCCTCCTTGTACTCAAGGCTTAGCCCCGACCCTTCTCACCTCTGCCCTGCTCACCAGCTTCATATACCAGCTCATCGCTCTGCCGACTGGAAACAATGCCCCTTTCTTACCATGTCTGAACGCCAGTGCAGCGAATGCAAGTGAAAAGGTTTGATTCAAAAAGTCTAATATGATGGAAAACCACTCAATGATTTTGTACCCATGGTGGGTTTCCATGGCAGTCTTTCCTCGCAGACGTCTGGACGTAGCCGCTATGCAAAACAGAAGCTTCCAACTAGGAAGCTGGAAAGACAAGAGCCATGAAATTGGTTATGCATGCATCGGTAGGATTACCACCCTCTCTTCTCCCACTGCCTCTGGACTAAAAGGCGCAGCAACAGCGGACATGTTTTCTGCAGAAATAAACCAGAGGGCCAGTCTGGTTTGAAAGCGCAGGGATGGTATTGTGTTCAAGGATGGTAAAAGTGGCACCACATTTGTTTCCTATCAGATGATTCAAGTGTCCTGTCATGTTTTCCAGATGGCGGGCTTTTATTTTTTCCACTGCAGCTAACTGTGCCTTCCATCAAGGACATCCTGAATGGTGCTCCTTCTTCCCATCAGTGTCACTGAAACACGTGTGCACCCTCCAGACTGAGACACACGAGCACCAGCAAGTGTCTAACGGACACTTGAGCATGCCAGCAACTTTTCCTCTGCTGACCAAAGCGGTGAATGTTTCTCAGGTTACAGTGAGTCATTGTTTTAATGAGATCTGAAGCTGTCAGCCATAGAAGCACCTCTTGGCAGGCTGCTGATGTGTCACAACAAGTTACCGTCCAACCCATCACTTCTCCACATTTCTGGAGTGTTTGCACAGCTGGTCCTGCTGGCCAGGTGAGACCAGGCACCTGTGGAATGACAGGATGAGCCTTCGCCCTAACTGCGAAGGAAAAGCCGAGGTGTGCACGGGTGAAAAGTTCCCAACCCCAATTTCAGCTGACAAGTGCTTTAATTCACTGAAATAAACAGATGTTTGAGCTTTAAGATGGGAGTAATTTAGACATTAATGATGGTTAAGCTTTTCTGAGAGCATCAGCCTTTTTTTTAGGGGTGACTGGAATATTTGGCCAGATCAAAAAGAGCTGCTTCACATAATGGCTTTACCACCAGGCGCAGTGCAGGTTTTTCCGGACTCTCATTGCTGCTTCTAATCCCAGTCCCACAAATATCTGCAGCTTCCGAAATGTCTTGAACCGCGTCCTTTTCTTTCTCTCTCTCTCCTCTTTCTTTCAGTTTTTTTATTCTCCCCTCTCTGCCTCTTTTTGATACGGTGATGTCTGACTGGTGGCATTCTGTGACGTTTGGTGACTCTTGGGATTTGTGTTCTCCTCAGACACATCCAGATGTGTTGCAGAGAAGAAGTACACAGAACAACAAGCCAAGAAGCAGGTCTTTGTTCCAGTTTGCAACCCCGATGGCACTTATAGCGAGGTATCAAAACAGTGCAACATAAATGATGTTTGAATTCATAATAAAAGGCAAAACATTTGTCTAAGGAGTTCGTTGTTTGTTTAGCTGTTGCTCTTTGGCGTGAAGTAAGACTTGGAAGTTTTTATTTTAGGTTCAGTGCCACAGCTACACTGGATACTGCTGGTGTGTGACCCCCAATGGACGACCCATCAGTGGTTCCTCCGTGGTCAATAAAAAACCTCGATGCCAAGGTGGGTAAATTATATTTTAACTTATTATTTTTAAAAGGTATTTTATCATTGCTTCCATTGTTACCTGTTGATCATCCTAAATGTGTCACTTTACATCAATAAAATTTTTTTTTTAAGTGAGATATGATTATTCTACTCAAAACAGATAACCTTAGTGGGAGTGGGGTAGTGACAGGGGTGGATTTAGGAAATTTGGGGCCCTAGGCAAAGACATGCAAGGGGCCCTCTGAATTGAGAAGACAACACATCAAACAGCCCCATTCTACAGATAGAGAAATGTTAATAGAATAGACATCCATTATCTGTTCTAGGTTGTGTCCCTCTCTTCTTGTCCATTTTCTTCTTGTTTTCCTCTCTATGTTTTGTACTCAGCTGACTTTTCATGCTGTCTCTAAAGGAATGAAAGATTTTTTCCAAGCACTAAGCTCACTTAGCTGATTGATCCTTCCTGTTTTTCCAAAAAGGTGACGGCCAAAGTACAGGTGCTGGTCATAAAATTAGAATATCATGAAAAAGTAGATTGATTTCAGTAATTCCATTTAAAAAGTGAAACTTGTATATTATATTCATACATTACATACAAACTCATATATTTCAGATGTTTATTTTGTTTAATTTTGATGATTACAAATGACAACAAATGAAAATCTCAAATTCATCATATCAGAAAATTAGAATATTACTGAAGACCAATAAAAACAAAGGATTTATAGAAATGTTGGCCAACTGAAAAGTATGAACATGAAAAGTATGAGCATGTACAGCACTCAGTATTTAGTTGGGCCTCCTTTGGCCTGTATTACTGCAGCAATGCGGCGTGGCATGGAGTCGATCAGTCTGTGGCACTGCTCAGGTGTTATGATAGCCCAGGTTGCTCTAATAGTGGCTTTTAGCTCTTCTGAATTGTTGGGTCTGGTGTATTGCATCTTCTTCTTCACAATACCCCATAGATTTTCTATGGGGTTAAGGTCAGGAGAGTTTGCTGGCCAATTAAGAACAGGGATACCATGGTCCTTCAACCAGGTACTGGTAGCTTTGGCACTGTGTGCAGGTGCCAAGTCCTGTTGGAAAATGAAATCTGCATCTCCAAAAAGTTGGTCAGCTGCAGGAAGCATGAAGTGCTCTAAAACTTCCTGGTATGTGGCTGCGTTGACCCTGGACCTCAGAAAACACAATGGACCAACACCAGCAGATGACATGGCACCCCAAACCATCACTGACTGTGGAAACTTTACACTGGACTTCAAGCAACGTGGATGAAGTGCCTCTCTTCTTTTCCTCTAGACTCTGGGACCTTGATTTCCAAAGGAAATGCAAAATTTACTTTCATCAGAGAACATGACTTTGGACCACTCACCAGCAGTCCAGTCCTGTTTCTCTTTAGCCCAGGCAAGACGCTTCTGACGCTGTCTGTGGTTCAAGAGTGGCTTGACACAAGGAATGCGACAGCAGAAACCCATGTCTTTCATACGTCTGTGTGTGGTGGTTCTTGAAGCACTCACTCCAGCTGCAGTCCACTCTTTGTGAATCTCCCCCACATTTTTGAATGGGTTTTGTTTCACAATCCTCTCCAGGGTGCGGTTATCTCTCTTGCTTGTACACTTTTTTCGACCACATCTTTTCCTTCCCTTCGCCTCTCTATTAATGTGCTTGGACACTGAGCTCTGTGAACAGCCAGCCTCTTTAGCGATGACCTTTTGTGTCTTGCCCTCCTTGTGCAAGGTGTCGATGGTCGTCTTTTGGACAACTGTCAAGTCAGCAGTCTTCCCCATGATTGTGTAGCCTATAGAACTAGACTGAAAGACCATTTAAAGGCTTTTGCAGGTGGTTTGAGTTAATTAGCTGATTAGAGTGTGGCACCAGGGGCCATCAATTTTGAACCTTTTCACAATATTCTAATTTTCTGATATGATGAATTTGAGATTTTCATTTGTTGTCATTTGTAATCATCAAAATTAAACAAAATAAACATCTGAAATATATGAGTTTGTATGTAATGTATGAATATAATATACAAGTTTCACTTTTTAAATGGAATTACTGAAATCAATCAACTTTTTCATGATATTCTAATTTTATGACCAGCACCTGTAAATAACCCAGTCCTTCTTTTCACTGTAAACAAGCCATGATCTGCTTATCTGTTCTCCATTTTTCATTTGGATGAAATAATAGCTGCATGAATCATGACAGCAGATAAGGCTATAGGTAACTGCCTCTCGGTGGGAACCCGGGAAGCCATAAGAACGCGCCAAACGCATGGCCTCAGTAGAACCGTTGAACGATTTGTACTGAAACTGAAACCTCGATTGCAATGTAAATTGTAGTTTTACAATAAAGTTGATGGATTGATTATTGATTGATCGATAAGATAGAGGAGAGCAGGAGGCGGGGTTACCAATCTACTTACTCTGGAGAGCAGAGATTGCTGCTTTTAGATGCTGTCGCCAAAGTCTCAAGCAGCAGAAAAAAGTTGCTAGATTTGGTGCTAGGAGCTTTTTTGACATAAAAGTACTAGAGGGGTGAGAAAAGTCGCTAAATATAGTGACATTCCGCAACACTGCTCTTCGCATCCTTTGTTTTCAAATGGTTTGCTGCTGTCTGTTTGGACCTTTCTGAACATGTGCAGCAAATGGACTGATCCAATATGGTGGACACTGAAGAGGGGGGGCTGAGACACAATTAATATTCTAAGCGTTCTGATGGCATTTTAGCCAAAGGATTTTTATCAAAAGGCAAGGCAAATTTATTTGTATAGCACAATTCAGTACAAAGACAATGCTTTACACGATTAAAATATAAGAAAATGAAACACAATCAGAGCAAGTAGAAGAAAAAATAAAAATAATAATAAAAAAAGATGCAGAAACAAGAAAGAACATTAAAAGCAGTTGGACTAAAGAAAGAAAGAAAAAAGAACTAATGATGTTTTAGTTGAACTGTTTAACTAGAACAGTGGAAGGCAATCCTAAACAAATGTGTTTTTAGCCTTGATTTAAAGGAACTCAGGCTTTCCGCACTTTTCCAATTTTCTGGAAGTTTGTTCCAGATAAGTGGAGCATAGGAACTAAATGCTGCTTCTCCATGTTTAGTTCTGGTTCTAGGTATGCAGAGCAGGCTGGAGCCAGAAGACCTGAGTGGTCTGGAGGGTTGATACACTGATAGCAAGTCTGTGATGTATTTAGGTGCTAAGCCATTCAGAGATTTATAGACTAACAGAAGGATTTTAAAGTCTATTCTCTGAGATACAGGGAGCCAGTGGAAGGACTTTAGAACCGGGGTGATGTGCTCTACTTTCTTAGTCTGAGTGAGGACACGGGCAGCAGCGTTCTGGATCAGCTGCAGCTGTCTGATCCACTTTTTAGGGAGACAAAAACATAATTAATGGGCACAAATAAGGAATTGTTATATTAACCATACACGTAACCAGAGTTTTAAGGGGCCCCCGGGAACTTGGGACCCCAGGCATCTGCCTAGTATTGCCTAATGGTAAATCCCCCCCTGGATGGCGAACATTATTTTTTATAGGTTATCACTTTGACGAATAGCTGTTTTGTAGTATTAAAGTTCTTTGTCTTATTTCAGCTTGGTAAAAATGTGCTTGATTTGAAAATAAAAGAAAACATCACTGTTCCATTTTATAATTGTCCACAAAGTAATGTCGTAAAATGAAAAAAAATGTGATTAAAAGTGTTTTAAAATTGTATTTGAATGTGCCGATGAAATATGATTTGATAAGTTTTACGTTGCATTTTATGTTTGTGAGGAGAGGACAACGTGAATCTGTGCAGGACGGACGACCACAGGGGTCTCCAGGCCCTCCCCAGGCTTGAGGATTGCTCAACTCTAGAAGCTGGGGTTCAAACAAACCATGAGGCAGAATTAAGCAACATTTAGCTGTAAGGAATTTAAGGGTTCCAGAGGAGAGTCTGTGCCACACAAGCCCCTAACTAATGCCACATGTCCTGCACATCTCTGTGACTGTCTGGCTGGGAGGATGTCGGTGTCTCACTAGTGAGAGGATCTCAAACAAAGCTGCATGGATGGCCAGATGAGGACTAGTACTTATATTGGAGCGAGACACCAAAACTGAAGACATGATGCAATTTCAAATTTTTTAAAACTATATATGATGGGCAGCAATGATTGAAGTGAGAGTAGGACCCAAAAAGGTCAAACATGTTTATTAATCAGCAGATAAAGAGGTTTCCAAGGGGAGGTGTTATGGTGGAAGTAAATCTAGCTTTATTTTAACTACAGCTGTTGGTTTCTAGGTTCAAAACAGGACAGAGCAGCCCCCATGGAGCCAAGACCAGGTAGGTTTATTCAGGAAAACACAGATTCCTCATTAATCCAGGTTCAGTGTAACGACCTTGTAGAAACTGTGTTCATATATTTGATTGTAAAAAGAATGTTAAAAATAATGGAATAGAGACAAAAAAACAAATATAAAGTAAGCAATATACAGTCAATATATATACAATATACAAGTAATTTTTTCTTAAAATAAGTGCATTTGTTCTTGAATTGAGGAGGTAAAAGAGACATTTTGCCAATAGAACAAGACGTTTTACACTTCAAATATGAAAACACAATTGCATCGTCTTATTTCAAGTGCATATTATCTAATGATCTTATTTTAAGAGTAAAATTACACATTCCATTGGCAAACTATCTGTTTAACCTGCTCAAATTAAGGGTAAATACACTTAATTTAAGACATTTTTTACTTATTTCTAGATCGTTTTTGCAGTGTATATACTCTGGAAATAATGGAAACATAGACAAGTCATTTTTATCTTAAAATAAGTGCATTTGTTCTTGGATTGAGGAGGTAAAAGAGACATTTTGCCAATGGAACAAGACAATTTACATTTAGAATAAGAAAACACAATTGCATTCTTTCATTTTAAGTGCTTTTTATCTAATTATCTTATTTTAAGTGTAAAAATACTTATTCCATTGGCAAATTATCTCATTTACCTACTCAGATCAAGGGTTCATACATTTAATTTAAGAAAACTTTTACCTATTTCTAGATCATTTTTCCAGTGTATATACTGGAAAAAAATCGAAATCTAGATAAGTCATTTTTTCTTAAAATAAGTGAATATCTTCTTGGGTTGAGGATATAAAAGAGACATTTTTCCAATAGAACAAGACAATTTAGATTTAAAATAAGAAAACACAGTTGCTTTGTCTTATTTCAAGTGCATATTATCTAATTATCTTATTTCAAGAGTAAAAATACTCATTCCATCTCATTTACCTACTCAAATGAAGGGTAAATACACTTGATTAAAGACTTTTTTTTATTTATACACTGGAAAAATGATCTAGAAATAAAAAAAGATGTCTTAAATTAAGTGTATTTACGCCTAATTTGAGTAGGTAATTGAGATGGTTTGCCAATATAATGAGTATTTCTACTCTTAAAATAAGATAATTAGATAATATGCACTTTAAATAAGACAATGCAATTGAGTTTTCTTACTTTAAGTGTAAATTGTCTTGTTCCATTGGCAAAATGTCTCTTTTACCTCCTCAATCCAAGAACAAATTCACTTATTTTAAGAAAAAAATGACTTATCTAGATTTCGATTTTTTCCAGTGTATATAGATCATTTTTTCAGCATATATTTAGATATAAAGTCTGAGCTGAATGACAGGCCTCAGTCAACCTAAACATAATATGTTTAGGTGCAGTTTTTGCAGCTTCTCTACCTGTTGCTTTGTAATTTCCAGCTTTACATGATTTCTAACTATCCTTATGAACTCTACAAAAGTGTAAAGTAGACCATTACCGAAGTGGTGATAAAAATCTGTGCAAATATTGTAGATTATTTATTTATTTACTCTCTAAAAAATGCAACAGCTGCCGCCACTTTCTTACTTAAAGTAGAGGAGTAGAAAGAGTTATGGATTAAAAAACCTTATAATTTATCATCACAGTTGGAAATAAGTATTTGAAAAATGTTTTGATAATTTTCTATTTCTTTTTAGCTTCAAAACAAGAAAGAGGAACCCCCATAGATCCAAAACCAGGTGAGAAAAATGAACCTTTTATTAATGTCTGTTCAGTCCTGCTCTCTGAATATAAACTGTTATTTTCACATCTTCAAGCCAAACAATGTTTTATATAAAGTATTGTTTTTGGGGGTTTTTTTTGCAATAAAACATGTTTGTTTTGTTAATTGATTTAATTCAGACTTCTAGCAGGTGGAAGCCTCATTCATTTCCACATCCCAAGTCAGAAAACCTTCCAGTTTCCAATTTATGAGCTGCGTTCAAGAAAGCTCTATGGACTTAACTTACCATGAAAAACTGAATCTGAATGTGTTTGAATGAATCTGCATTTATGTAATCCATAATTAAACAGAGGTGGTTGAATTAAAATAAAATATTAATTTACTTTTAGATTTATTTAGACCATGCGTAAAGCTCAACTACAACTAATGCTAAGTGCATTAACTCAGACACATTCATGTCTGAAAATCATTTGCTTTAAGATGTCTTATGTATATTTTCGGAAAAAAAATAAAACACCAACCGTGACCGTTTCATTATTTATACCATTAATGTTTTTAAGGTCTTAAGCTCTGAAATGTGATGACATCAGGGATGTTATCATACATATATTGCTTCACCCTGATGTGGAAGTAAATCGGTGAATCTTTGTTTTATAATTCTGTGAGTAAAGAACCTGGTTAGCATTATAGAAAATAGATCAACTGAATTTTTAATAAAAAAAAAAATACATTTTCAAAGCAAATAAAATCGAATGCAAAACAGTTAAACAAAATTTTAAAATGGTGCTAAACCGACCTTGATACTAATAACAAATAACATAAATATATAGTTAGTCTGAGAAATTCAAGTTCAGTTTTTAATGTCACATTTTTCTGCAAATAAAGGTCCTGTTTTTTTGTTGTTGTTTTTTCCAGAAAACAACACATTTAGCATTCAAAACAACATCCCTAGCTTTTTCACTGGTTAAAGTAAAATAAAATGTATTTTTTTTTCTTTTAGATTTATTTAGAAAGGAAGAACCATGCATAAAGGTTTTAAAATGCAGAAAGATCAATTATAACTAATGCTAAGTGCATTAACTCAGACACAAGATAGAATAGATGGAATAAAAAAATACATTTTCAAAGCAAATAAAATCAAACTAAATAAACTAAGTTTTATAGTAGTCTGAGAAATTCAACTTCAGTTTTTGATGTCACATTTTTTGCCAATAAAGGTCTTTTTTTTTCTTTTCTTTTTTCAGAAAACAACACATTTTCTTCTGAGACATTTAGCATTAAAAATAACAGCCCTAACTTTTTGACTGGTTAAATTAAAATAAAATGTCCTTTTTTTTCTGTTATAGATTTGTTTAGAAAGGAAGGACCATGCATAAAGGTTTTAAAATGCAGAAAGATCAACTACACTGAACAAAAGATATCTAAATAAGTACTTTTTTCTTACAATAAGTGCATTTTTTCTTGAAATGAGGAGGTAAGTGAGACACTTTGCCAATGGAACAAGACAATTTACATTTAAAATAAGAAAAAACTATTCCCTTGTCTTATTTCAAGAGCATTTTATTTAATTATCTTACTTTAAGAGTAAAAGTACTCATTCCATTGGCAAATTATCTTATTTACCTACTCAAATTAAGATTAAATGCACTTAACTGAAGACATTTTTGCTAATTTCTAGATCGTTTCTGCAGTGTACAGCTAATGCTAAGTGCACTAACTGAGACACATTCATGTCTGAAAACTATTTGCTTTAACCAACCGTGACCGTGTCATTATTTATACCATTAATGTTTTAAGGATCTTAAGCTCTGAAATATGATGACAGTCTGAATAGTTTGCCAACATTTAAACGTTTGCTTATCCTCTACTAGAAATGTTTAGCTTGATTAATGTATGATTTCTATTCTGCTTCCTGCCTCCAAGATTTTCCCACTAGGATCACGTATCAAAGCTTCCTTCTATAATGTTTTTATATAAACTGCTTATTTATTTGGTTTGAACGAGTTTCTAGGAGGGAGTTTGTGATCCACAGAAATGGATCATAAACAACTTTTGAGGCTAGACCTGTCTGTTGTCTTCAGCAAACAGTCACTCAGAACTTCTCTCTTCAGGTTTACTTTTACTTTTTCTGCAAAAGAAACAAGAAACCGTCCACATGGTGAACTCCAGTCTACTCTTAGCTTGTTTCTCATCAAATTTCTGCCCTTTTTCCAGATAAACAACCACTAAGATTTCTTTTGTTTCAGTACCGGGAATTGTTAAATCTGCTTAATTTAACTGATGTTATTTGGAACTTCCCTAAGATTGTAATTTGGGTTCATTAGGATAGATTTATGATCTTATAGAGTAAATCAGCAACCATTTGTGTTTCCCTATTCCTTCTGTTGACAGTTGAGTGTATAGCGTCCATCTTAGCCAGGTCGTTACACACACATCAAGTGAGGAGGAGTGTTGGGAGAATGAACGGGAGAGGGAAGTGCCGGGATCGGCCGTGGTTCAATCTGAACTGGTTGGATAAACAGGGTGGTGAAAAGAAGAATAAACTGTCGGTTTGTGGTGCACCAGATCTGAAAATAGCAGTGATTGCATCAATATTTTGATTTAAACTAACCCCTTCAGAACCGAAGTGTTTTATAACACACGGTGCCCGGTGAAGAGATTCATTGCTCCTGATGTTTTCCACATTTCTTCACGTTACAACCACAAATTTCAGAACTTTTTACTGAGATTTTATGTGCATATGCACAACATAACATTATACAGTATCGTGACATGGAAAAATGATTATTTGTATTTTCCTTCCTTTTTTTTTGCATCACTTTTAGGTAAAGAAAATATAAAATTTGGTCTCCGTTGGTTCTGCCTACTAATATTGCAAAATAAAATGACCAACTGGAGTCAGAAGTTGCCCGATTATTTAAAAGAGACCAATATGAAGCAGTGAATAATGTCAAATGGAATAAAATTGAGCTCAATAACATTATTTTTAAGTATTTAGCCCCTAAATGAAATATATTGAAATCAAATTATCCTCAGAAGCAAATACTTTCCTAATTAAGTACATTTGTGCGTAATTAAAATCTAGCTTTTGTGTGAAGGAAAATTCCCTTACTTCAGACCTCTGTTCATCCCATCATCAGCAAATTGAAGTGAAAGTATAACACAACTGCAGACATACCCAGACATGGTCGTAAACCTAAAGCGATGGGTCAGGGAAGGAGAGCATTTGTCATAAAAGCAGCCATGACGCTCATATGTGGAGGAGCTAACGATAATCTGTTAACACAACAAATATTCGTTGCGGAGTTAAAAAAAATCTGCCGTCTCGAAGTCTATCTAGTTCATCAACCTTACACCCAAAACTACAATTAAAAGGTTTAGATCAAAGCTATAAATTATAAGAAGACCTGAATAATGAATTTTAGTCCTGGCTTTACTATTTTAAAAACAACTTTCCACTTTAACTGTAGAGAAAATGTAGTTCTACCTACTAATAAATAAAAGCAGACCAAATACAAATGCATGCTAAACTTTGCTGATTTTAAATTTGATGCACATTTAAAAATAAATCCCCCCTAATGTCAGTTTTAATGAAAGCATAACCGAACCACTGCAGCAAATGTAAGATCAGAACCAGCTATAAACAGCAAAGCCCAGATCTTCAAAGATTACTTATTTGCATAATCCCCTCCCATAAATGTGCTTGTTGTGGTCATAAGCATAAGTGCTGTATATTCAATTCAGTTCAGTTCATTTATATAGTACCAATTCACAACACATGTCATTTCTATTCAACTACTATTGAAACTAACGAATCATCCAGTCCAGTAGTTTCAAAGTTTACTATCTAAGGAAAACCAGTCGATTGCATCGACTCATTGACTCTAAGGCAATTCCTCACACCAAGCATGCTTGTAGGGACAGTGGAGAGGAAAAACTACCTCTGAACAGGAAGAATCAGTGTCAGTGTGAACGGCCTTTCACTACCCGATCCGTCCTGGAAGCACGATCCGTTCTGCACGAGCCATCAGCTCATTTGAGATATACATCCGGGTCACCCTCGATTTTATTTTGACCTAAATTACATTATTCCCTCTGCAAAATAGTAAATGTTCTAAAATATGTGTTAAAGGTTAACAATGTATTTTCTGAGAAAATAAATGCCTTAAAATCCTTTCTGTTCTATCACTCGTCTTTGCCCGATCTGCACTGGAAATGGGATCCTACTCTACTTCTGAGAGCTAACTTTCATTTTTGGAATTAATCGTTAATATAGTCTTTTTTTGGTTTTATGTTTTCCTTTCGTGTTAACATTATTGTATATTGTGCGTAATCCAAAAAAGGAAACAACAAAAATGCAGATAAACATGGATTAATCATATTTTGCCGGACTGCTCTGAGCGTGTCCCATGATGACATCAGAGAAGCATTTTAACGGAGAAAATGTAAAAAGCATCAAAAGTGTATCAAAGGTGTGTATTAGCATTTCTTAGTGAGTTAAGGGTAGAAATAAGTGATTTTAGTACCATCATTACATTGTTTATGTAAAATTAAAATATATAGTTGTTCACGCATGCGCAGAACAGATCGTGCTTCAGGGACGGATCGGGTCGTGACACGACCATCTGCCGTGGTTGATTCAAAGTTTTCATTCTAATTCTACGTTCACACCGGACGCAGAAAAAGCAGCAAAATCACGTCTGCTGCTTCATTTTTGCTGCTTGTACCAGTTAGTTCTGACGCGCGGCTAAAGCAGCTTTGCTGCTCTGGCTGCGCGGTGCAAAAGTGTGTCTGACGCGCGTTGGGCGGAGCTTCACTATCCTTTCTTTGCCTTGCAGCTATATTTGCTGTGATAAATGGGAATAAAGTTCTTTTAATATGTTTTTAAGTGAGAAAATCCACCTGAAAACTTAATCAGTGCAGTCAGTTCATCCAGATTACCATTTCTGTCGGAGCCGCTCAGACCCCCACATACCAGCTGTGCGCTGTCAGTAGGAATCCCATTCAACAGCAGCCTCTGGCCGGGTCGCCGCCTCGCGGTTCACCGCGGCGGCTGGTAGGTGTTTTTCATCTAAATAATCCAAACTGCAGGCACCAGGATAATAAAAGCAAACATTCTGCCGGCAGATTTCTGCATTTTAAGTTAATTTAGGCGTCAATAAACTGTTTCAGAGGAGCGATCACAGCGCTATGTATCATCAGCAATGTGTCTGTCTCTCTGCCAGCTCCCAGATCAGCTTCTCTGATTGGTTGATGCGGCGCGTCGAGCAGCAAAAGTTAAATTTTTCCATCTCGAGCAGCAGCGCGTTTGCCGCGCGTATGATGCTTAAATGCGCTGCGGGACATTTTGCTGCGCCTTGACGCACGTCAACCATTGACTTTGCATGTAAACTGGCTGCTTCTGCCGCGCCTGCTGCGTCCGGTGTGAACACAGCATTAGGAAAACCAACTGATTGCACTGACTCATTGAGTCCCCAGCAATCCCTCACACTAAGCAGGCTTGTAGTGACAGTGGAGAGGAAAACTCTATTTTAACAAGAAGAATCCTCCAGCAGAACCAGGCTCACTGTGAGCAGCCATCTGCTGAGGTTGCTAAGGTTCAAGACAGAAGCAGACATAGAAAAAGAAGCATAGATACAAAAGGCAACTGTTAACCAGCTCCACAGTCTGCCCAGGAAACACACAGCCAGGCAGACGAGCTCCGAGCCAGCTCCCATGTCAGAGGATGAAAGAGAGCACATCCAGTTAGTCACAGTCAGAGAAACAGGACTACACTGGAAAATAGGCTAATCTCGAACATCTTTAAACAAATGTAAACATGCTAAAAAATTAGCACCTGCTGTTTCACTGATTTTAGACTTCGCACTTTGATTTACACCTGGTTTGTAGATCAGCTTTGTGCATGATGTCATGTTTGCAGGTTTTTGATTAGATGCAAATCAGGCCACCTGTGGTTCGCTTTGTGCACAACTTGGTTGTTTGACTTGAACCTTTTTATTTCACAAACTGGAATCATATGCAGCTGATGACTGACAAACAGCAGTAAAACTAATGCCTTGTGACCACAAATAGCACAGGGCTTTCCTGGCAGATGCTGAGAGAGGTGTTACAGTCATGTAAAAAGCCGCAAAGTAAAGAACCCTCATTAGTGGTTTACTGTAAATCCAAATCATAAATATGCCTTTGAAACTGCATTTCCATCCTTGAACTGAGTGGGATAATAGCATGTCAGGCAAAGTCACACTCGCTGAATGCATTTCAACACAGTGAACAAGCATGGGATGACGAATGACTCCCGTAAAACCCATGCATTTAAAGTAAACACTTAATTTTTCAGTTGAAATTCGTGTTAATGTGTGGCCTGTTCGTGAAGCCATTTCTGAAACACCTCGATGTTGCAGGGAGGGACCGAGCTTGAGGTTAACCACATCGACTGTCATGGTCTTCACCGTGCCTCCCTCCTACCACAGAACAAACAAACTAAACCAACCAGATATATATATCCTTAGATTTCCCACTGGTAACTGGTGCACCTCAGACTTGTCAACATCTTCTTTCACCTAGAAATTTTCCCCACATGTATGCAGCTTTCATATCCACATGAACAGATGGAAAAAGCTGGAATGATTGTTCATCTTTAACTGACCTTTGTTTGCCGTTTTCAGCATTACAGCCTCTTGACTTTGGGACCACGATTACTGTGTTTGCTGCTGGATCTTTTTCTGTTTTCTTCAAAGGTCTTACTTCAAAAGTGTTCTATGAACTCAATCTGTTTCTTCTCCTCTCTTCAGTCTTTCCCTTCATCTTTCTTTACCGGGCAAGGTGCAAAATCAGATTGTAAAATGTTGTCTAATATTGCTAATATTTGTAATTGTAGTCTCCTTGCAAATATTCTCCATTCTAAATGCAGAACCTATGGCGATGGAGCCACAGTCTCCGCCAGAGGAAGAAGGTAAGTGGGTTTAATCAGAAAAAAATTGCTGCTATTGGTTTAGCTTCTACAGATTATCAGAGGCTAAGTCACATTGACTGTATGGTGGTGGCAGTATCATGCAATGGGGATAAACTTGGAGAGGTTTAGAATGAGAGTAGGAGCAGGAGAAAATACCTCATTCTAGGAAAACAGAGCCACATGTGACACTTCAGGAGAATCTCAGGGAGAAGGATCAGACTGAGGATTAATAGAATAAAAGGAACTTGACATCTAAAGCTAGACTTAATTTTGTGGTGGCAAAATCTGACAGCAAGCTAAGACTAAAGGTAAGTTGATCAGATCAAGAACGCCAGGATGTGATGCAGCACCAGAGAAACTAATTTGCTTTAGGGTATTAACAAGGCCATTAATATTTGAAGGACTGATGCAACCACAGTCATGCTTTAGGGTTTCTCTCATGTCGGAAGTCTTCACAGTGCTGAGGATTCTCAGTCACCCAGGTCATAGTCATTCTTCAAAAAGTGAAAAAACAATCCACTGGATTTTGTGTCCAAGTTTGAAGACGTTTCTCTTCCCATCCAGGAGGCTTTTTCAATTCAAAATTTCAGAAATAGCGTTAAGTCTGAGGCTTTATATAGTGGCCCATCAAAGAAAACATGCTTGGAAAACATTCTAATAGGGATCAGATGAGTTGATCTCTTCCCACTATCATCGCAACCCCAGCCCCTTTACATGGAAACAGAGGACCTCGCCTATTCTGCCAGGCCAACAATTCACTTTAAACGACCCCTCCTTCCGCTTCAATTTGCATGTTTTCTAAGCAAAAACAAGGCTTTGTTGGGCTACTGTATAAAGCCTCAAATTCAACGCTGTTTCTGACATTTTGAATGGAAAAAGCTTCCTGGATGGGAAGAGAAACGTCTTCCGACTTGTAAACAAAGTCCAGTGGATTGTTTTCAGCTTTTTTTGGAATGAAACACGTCATAGTCCAAAAGATATTTTAGGCCTTGTCCTAACCTAAGAACTCATGGAAACTTGGATGAACTGCTATGGTTTTAGACATGAAGAAGGTGATCTTTAAAAACATTGCTTGCACAAGCAAGTAGAAAATTTATTTTACAAATGATCAGGATGGTCTCACGAGGCTAGAATAGGCGAGGTCTTCTGTTCCCCTGTAAAGGGGTTGGGGTTGCGATGATTATATTGGATGATTTGAAGGGATTTTATATGTATTCTTTTATGATGTTTTCTGGAAATATGATCTTTGACATATTGTTCCTTCTCGTGAATTGTTGAACACCTTGACTCTAGGAGTTTTTCTACTCTGATTATGTTTTCCTATTTAAGGGGATCTTAATCTGGAGCCTTACTCTTCTACATACTGGGCTGTGGCTCAGTTCTTTATTATATTTTACAATTTTTATTGCCTGTGAGTTCTCATTGTATTCATTGCTATCCTAAAACTGCCACGTTGACCTCTTGTAGTTTCTGTCCTTCAGTTCTGTTCACCTTGTGTCATTTGGGTACCACAGGTTCACCATTTTCCAGTCAGACTGAGATGTTCTAGTTAGACAAATGAAAGAGGGTCTAATTTTTGGCGCACAGATTTATGTAGACCACTATTTGTGATGACCTGCAGGTCCAAGCAGTTTAGAGTCCAGTAATTCACAGTTTCTGGTCTTCATTTCAGGTGTTTTGAACCTCATTTCATATAAACAGAAGTTTGCATTTCCTACTCATATCTGTTCTTATACTTACTTTTTGCGTGATTATTTTAACCAATTATGAGATTTAGATTTCAGAAGGTTTTTGAAATATATGCTGGTGAAGATTCTTCATTCCAAAAAAATTAAAAAAGCAATCCACTGGACTTTGCTTCCATGTTTGAAGATGTTTCGCTTCCCATCCAGGAAGATTTTTATTTGTTTATCTGCTTATATCTGTTTTTATTATACCTACATTTTACATGAGTATGGCCACCAATTAGATTGTATTCTGCCTGCCCCCAGGGAATAGATGCCACATGTGGCTCATGCTTATGATGCAGTTATCTTCTTGTGCTTTATAGTCAGTAGTTTGTGTGATAACATGAACTGACTCAAATAACATACACAAATATTCTGGACTCCTGTTAAAGATGTTGTCTTGGTGATTTCTTTCAGACGTCACTTCCCCGTACCCTGATCTGTGGTTGGAACAGGTCCGCAGCCGGCAGAATAGATCCAGAGCATCCTGTGAGTTTCAAAACGTTTCTTTAATATGGAAGTTTGGGATGTCTTCAAACCACAGCAGAAAAATCCCATTTTAAGTTGTCAGACGTGTGTAAGCAATCATAGTTTGGGGCTGTTGCTGTCTTTTAAGGACAGATGGGGGGGTTGTGAAACCAATAGATCTTGATGTTAAAGTGCATTGGGTTTTGATGATCCGCTTCACTGTGGTTTCTTGTATTGCTTCTAACCTGTAATTATCTCCACATGGCACAACTATAGGATCTCACACTCTTCTATTTTATGCACACGTGTGTTTATCTTTATTCCAGTTTCATGCACATGGGGGAAATATGCTGGTTTGTATAACTCAAAATGGCCCATAGATGAGAACCTTCTGTGTATGTGTGGGTCTGTGCGTGAATCCCATTATCACAATTTACAACCAATAATAAGCCTGAGAAATGCTGCATTGGTTTTGATTACCATATGCTCTCTGGCTTATTGGGGTGAAAAAAATTCATTCCGACCCCAACAAAGTGAGCCCATAAAGAGGCGCTGGAGTGAAGAGGGTTAGTTTAGAAAGTGCAGAGGTATTTCATTTGGTCTCTTTTGTGTGGCTAAAGATCCCTTGTGAAAATAAACAAAGAAAAAGAATATCCATAATCCCGCAGCGGCTTCAGAGCCTTTAGGCATGCACCAAAGGGAGGGCCAGCTTGGCAATAAAAGCCCTCATATGCTAAAAGGCAATCCTTTCTTTTCTGACTTCAGTGCTCTTATCTTTCTTGGTGAGATGCCTGAAAACAGCTCTAAAAAAAAGCAGTTTCTTCTGCATCAAGTCCAATTTCTATGTATGCCAATAAAGGACAGGGTCAGAAAGGGATGGCTTCATTAATGGAAATTTGGAGAATGTACACAAATAGACTCCTGGCAATGATCCTTTGTCTCATCTGTCTTATATACACCCACTACACCGAGAGAAAGGGCATAAGGAGTGTCCAAATATTTACTTAACTTGGGGCAAAGGGAGCTGTACTTAGTCATTAGCTTGTTAATGTCCATAAACAGTGCCATTTGTGGGGGGGTGATATATCAGTCTACACACAATTTCTCCAATAACTCCACCTCTGTGATACAGTAAAATAAGTTTGCTAAGATGACAGCTGTTTTTATTTTACTAATGAATTAAAATAAATCAGAAACATAGCATGTGATGGAAATCCAGAAGGCTTGACCTAATCTGATTAAATGTTCTCCTTAATAAACTATAAACACATCCTTTTGTTTATACTCTGTTTGTGTAAGGGAAGGTTTTTGATAAATCATGCCACTTGGACCACCTAAGTTACCGCTGACGTCGTGGACGGAGGGCTTATTGGCTGATTTGTGTGTAAACTCTCTCTAGCGTCATCGTGTGACCAGGAGCAGCAATCGGCTCTGGAAGAGAGGAAGCAGCGTAATAACGACGCTGTGTTTGTGCCAGACTGTGCCCAAGGCGGATTCTACAAGCCGGTCCAATGCCACCCCTCCACCGGCTACTGCTGGTGTGTGCTTGTTGATACAGGACGGCCAATACCAGGGACGTCAACCAGGTGGGCCACAAATTAGCCATAAACCAAAGAAAAATGTGATTTATTCATGTTTGGTAGGAACTAACATACTTTCACTAGAGGACATGCCCATTCTGTGTACATGCTGTGTTGAAGTTAGTAGCTGAAGTAGAGTTGCTAAGTCTGTTCTGGAGTGAGACTTTTGTTTTTCTGTCCCACCTCTGGTAGATTTTATCCCAAAACAGAAAAGTTCCTGCCTTGTAAAGCCGGGGCATACACTGTACGATATTTAGTGTATTCTCATTATTAGTTCTTATGAAATCGTACGAAAAGTTATGCACCGTAATTTCGTAGGTTTTAGACGTTTTTTTCGTCGCATTTCGTCGTAATTTTACGTCTTGCCTCGAGACAAGATATCCTTGCGCATGCGCATCTTACGCACCATTCAATAACATAGAATTTTACATACAATTAACCCTAACCCTGACCCTAACACTAACCCTAAGATACAAAACAGCAACCAAACTAGTTAGAGACCTGAAGAAATGATTATTGCACTGTTTTTCCCAGTTTTACGTCCGTCCGCGGATCTGCTTTTTTCGTCTGTCTGGCTGCGCATGCGCACTGATCTGTATTTTCGAGGAAAAATGTCTAAAACGTACGAAATGCTGTGCATAACTTTTCGTACGATTTCATACGAACTGATAATGAGAATATGTTGCGATATTTTCAGTTGTTGGCACGCAGCTACAGCTCAAACTGTACAATAAAACCGAAGGGTTTAAAAGTTCACTGCTCATGATGCATGTTCTCACACTGTGCTCCCCAACGCTCTGATGCGATCTACCTGCTCACACGTCAATCTGGAAGAAAAAGGAGAAGAAGAACTCCCTTGTTTGCTTGTAGTGGCTTTTAGCCCTGCTTCAAGAGCAGGATTTGCCCACAAACACCTTAAGACAGCCAACTGAACTTTAAACATGTTTGATTTTCTTCCAACCTTACGATTCCTGATCAAAGGTGGTCTTGAGAGGCTAATCACCTCTCCTTACCCCCTGTACACTACACAACGCAGGCTGAAACTTGACCCGAGTGAAAAATTCTCACACAACTGAAGAATCGGCCCGAAAAGGGCAAGAAATCATTCTGTTTATGCCCTTAATACAACTACAAGTTTAATTCAGTTTAGTTTATTTCTATAGTGCCATCTCAGAGCACTTTCCAGTTCACTAGATCATCCAGTCAAGTTGATTCAAATTGTCCATCTAAGGAAAACCAGTTGATTGCATCGACTCATTAACTCTATAGCAATCCCTCACACTAAGCATGCTTGTAGCAACAGTGGAGTGGAAAAACTCCCTTTTATCAGGAAGTAACCTCCAGCAGAACCAGGCTCAGTGTGAGCAAATACAAGTAATAGTAAATGTAACTTACAAGAACTTTACCAAACCTTTTCCAGTTCCTTCATGGAACTTTCATGGAACTTTTTTGAACCTCACCAGGCCCTTTGGTTTTTACCGGGAAAGTTAACGGACAGTCGTTAAAAATAAACTCTGTAACATAGATTTCTTGATAAAAACTTCCATGAAAGTTATTTGAAGGTCCTATCAAAGCTTTGCACTTGTACTAATCCTAGTAGTCATCATCTTTGGCCTTATCAAGTACTGGTTTGAGTTGTTTTCGAACAGTTCTTTCCAAATTAATTGGAGGTTCTATGTAAAACTGGTTAGTTCCATCAAGGTTCCTTTAAAATATCGGCTAAACTTACTGATCTTACGTTGATATACTGACAGACCGGGTTGTTGATAACAGAGAGGAACTCTGTGGTCTGGATAACAGCAGGTCAGAGGTCTGGCAGACTGGCTATTAAGCTACATCGCAGAGTATCACATTAACAAGACTCCAGGCAGGGGGCCAGCTAGCACATCAGGATAAATATGGAAGTGTGGATTTTCCTCCCTCTTTCAGGCCAGCTTTTTCCCCCATCAAACATCGGCTGTAAGGACAATGATATCCCTCACGGAGGATACGGAGGCATCCTCGCGTCCCACACTCCCTCTCTTCTTCTATCACAATCCCCCTCTTTCTGTCCTCATCCCAGTTCCAAATCCTTCCCCTCTTGCTGGATGAGTTTCACAGCCCCTGGTTTGCCACAGAATGATCACTTGAATCCCTCAGATTTAACTGACCGAGGTCATTGGAAAACAGGATTCCTCTGCTTTTACGATGAGGGTTTGACTGCTCTAAACAATCCTGACTTCATTACATTTCTTCACAGGTATGAACAGCCAAAATGTGACGGTAATGCCAGAGCCCATCCAAATAAAGCAAAGGACCATTATAAAACCAGACATCTCCAAGGTATGTCTCCATTTACTGGAATCTGTCTCTATTTTTCCCCTCTTTCTTCAGACAACATGGAGATCATTTTTATGGTTTCAACCATTTAGCCTCAAACTGCTGCCAAACTTCCACTGCTTTGATAACAGTGTGTGTTTGCGTTAGAGCGTGTTGGTGTGAGGACATCATTAGCACTGAAGAAAAAGCTTGATAAGAGTTGAGGATTAGCAGATAGCGGCATTCATTGGTCAATAAGCAGGGAGACAGAGACGGATTGGGAGGGGGATTAATCTTCAACTGACACTGGAGATGGAGGACAGTGAATGAAAGCAGTGAGGAGGAACAGCAGGGAGGTGAGGTGGAGATAATGCATAATGGGATGCCAGAGACAGGTGGTGATACTATGACTGATAGTGATGCAGATAGCTAAATTAAAAGCAGAAGATTGGTTCCAGGGCATGAAACTACTTTAAGGAATTTTTTGCAGATGTGTCAAGAAGAAATTATTGATTACTGTAGGGTAAATCCAAGAGTTTCAATTAAACCATTAGGTTGGAGCTTTGTGGCTGACGCGTGTTCCAGGATCCAAAAAAAAACAATAGCCTCCACTGACGTCACGTTTTGCCTTTTGATTTTAAAACAAAGGGGATAACAAAAAAAAAAAAACGAACGTATACAAAAATATACCTCTTAAACTTTCACAAAACTACATCTGAGGTTCCACAGAGTAACAATATGAGTATGGCCCAACCAAAACATGGTCAGAAAACCGTGAGCCACCAACCTTCTCCTCCCGTGTCTGTTTACAACAGTTACCTTACCGGGCACCTGGCGCAGAAATATGACGTCATCAAAAGGCACACTAAGCAGCGTCCTGTAAATATTTTTAAATTAAAAATTTTTAACTTGTACATATTTTTAAATCAAATTATTAATGTCACTCATTAATGTAAATGAAATATCAAATTCTCATAATACAAATAATTTCAAACTATACATAAAACAGGTATATGGCGCCTACAATTACATTGTAAAACAGTTTTGGGATGATTTCAGAAACAGGAAATATGAAAAGTACAAATCTTCCTCTGCAGCGACCAAAGTTCACAGAGAAAATTCAAGAAAGCTCAAAGCTTTAATTGAAGTACGTCTGAGGAAATTTTGCTACTGTAAAATCTAGGGCTGCAACGAATGATTATTACTGTTGACAATTTTTTTAATCAATAATCGGATAGCAAAAGGTTCCTTAAAGAAGATTTTTTTTGCAGAATTGAACCAGGTGAAACTGAAGATTTTCTAATACTGCTTTCACACCGAATGCAGCAGAAGCAGCAAAATCGCGTCTGCTGCTTCCTTTTCGCTGCTTGTACCAGTTAGTTCTGACGCGCGGCTGAAGCAGCTTTGCTGTTCTGGCTGCGCGGTCGAAAAGTGTGTCTGACGCGCGTTGGGCGGAGCTACTCTATCCTTTCTCTGCTTTGCCGCTATATTTGCTGTGATCAGAGGGAATAAAGTAGTTTTAATATGTTTTTAAGTGAGAAAATCCACCTGAAAACTTAATCATTGCAGTCAGTTCATCCAGATTACCATCCTGCCTTCCAATATTATTTCTGTCGGAGCCGCTCAGAACCCCACATACCAGTGGTGAGCTGTCAGTAGGAATCCCATTCAACAGCAGCCTCTGGCCTGGTCGCCTCCTCATGGTTCGCCACGGCGGCTGGAAGGTGGTTTTCATGTACATAATTCCAACTGCAGGCACCAGGATAATAAAAGCGAACATATTCTGTCGGCAGGTTTCAGTATTTTAAGTTAATTTAGGCGTTAATAAACTGTTTCAGAGGAGTGGTCACAGCGCTCTGTGTCATCAGCAATGTGTCTCTCTCCCTGCCTGCTCCCAGATCAGCTTCTCTGATTGCTTGACGCGGTGCGTCGAGCAGCAAAAGTTCAATTTTTCCATTTCGAGCAGCAGCGCGTTTGTGGCGCGTCGCGCACATCAGATGCTTGAACGCTCCCGACGCGCTGCTTCAGCTGCTCAGACGCGCTGCGCCTGCTGCTCAAAACGCACTGCGGGACCTTTTGCTGCGCCTTGACGCGCGTCAACCATTGACTTTGCATGTTAACTCGCTTCTTCTGCTGCGCCAGCTGCGTCCGGTGTGAACGTAGCATTATTAAGGAGTTCTGGATGTGGCATATTTACAGATGAAAATGTTATTCAACTTAAATGAAAAGTTTTTAAATTGAAAAATATTTCTATACAATCTGGGTAATAATTACTGCCCTAAGTGAGTTTTTCTGTCAGTTAAAAGCATGTTTTAGAGTCTCTTTACTCCAGTTAACAATTCATTGATTACTAAATTAGTTGATGATTATTTCAACAATTGATTAATCAAGATTAACGAGATTGTTTCAGCCCTAGTAAGCCCAGTGTGCGTGACATCCCTGATGACACTATAAAACTTTAAATTTATGGTAAAAGAACTTCTAAACCCATAATGCTCGATTTCCTGACACAGATCTATTACTCTTAGCTAGGCTTCAAAATCTGGAGGATCTGGAAGGTTCAAAATCATGATCAACATATTTTGGAATTCTTTTAAGTCACAAGCAAATAATTTAACCTTTGCACCACAAACAGAAACAGCCATTCATCTCAACCTGTCCTTTTGTTTACAATCAGAGATGTAAGTAAAGGAAACTTTGAAAGATTCTTCTTCCTCCTAAACAAACACTAAAGGTTGTAAATAAGTAGGTTAAAAAGTACCTTATACCCAGTGTTAAGTACGGCGGAGGTCCTGTGATGCTGTGGGCCTGTTTCTCCTCCAAAGTCCTTGGGATGCTTGGTAAATTGAATGGCATCTTTGAGAAAATTTTAAATAAAACTAAGGTGACCTCTAACAGAAAACTATAGAAATATACCATCAACTGCTTGTTTCACTAGTGATAACAAACAATGTAAATAAAATCCCTTATAAATGGAATATATTTTAGAATTTGAGAAATGGACATCTGAGATGGCTTCAGCTTAAAGTTAGTATAATAATCAATGTGATTTTTAGATTTTTTAGCCTTTTAGAGCAGAGGTCACCAATTAAAATCAGTGGGGTCAAAATAGATCAAATGAAAGACCAGTGAAGGTCAGTAGACATTTTTAAATATAATCTGTTACTTTAAAAATAATTTAACACTGAAATAAAATGAGGTGTTTATGCATCCATGTAATACATTGACTTTTTTAACAAAAAAAAAAAATAGAATGTTTTTCCTTTTTAAAATCCAAATTGTTTTTGAAGTAGAGAACAACGATCGTTCAGTTTGGCATATAGACAATTTCCTGATACTTTCTTTTATAAAACACCTAAACTGACCCTTTTTTATTTATTTTTCTGTCTTTCTTATGGCTTAATGAGAGCAGTGGGCTTTAGGCTGCCCTGCAAGGCTTTAAACCTGGGTTTGAATGGAGACTAATGCTACGTTCAGACCGGACGCCGCAGGTGCAGCAAAATCGCCTCTGCTGCTTCCTTTTTGCTGCTTGTACCAGTTTAGTTATGTCACGTGGCTGAAGCAGCTTTGCTGCTCTGGCTGCGCGGTGCAAAAGTGTGTCTGACGCTCGTTGGGCGGAGCTTCACTATCCTTTCTCTGCCTTGCATCTATATTTGCTGTGATCAGTGGGAATAAAGTAGTTTTAATATGTTTCAAGTGAGAAAATCCACCTGAAAACTTAATCAGTGCAGTGAGTTCATCCAGATTATCATCCTGCCTTCCAATAATATTTCTGTCGGAGACGCTCAGACCCCAACATACCAGCTGTGCGCTGTCAGTAGGAATCCCATTCAACAGCAGCCTCTGGCCGGGTCGCCTCCTCGCGGTTCACCGCGTCGGCTGGTAGGTGTTTTTCATGTAAATAATCCAAACTGCAGGCAGCAGGATAATAAAAGCGAACATATTCTGCCGGCAGATTTCTGCATTTTAAGTTAATTTATGCGTCAATAAACTGTTTCAGAGGAGCAATCACAGCGCTCTGTGTCATCAGCGATGTGTCTCTCTCTCTCTGCCAGCTCCCAGATCAGCTCCTCTGATTGGTTGACACGTCGAGCAGCAAAAGCTACATTTTTCCATCTCGAGCAGTATCGCGTTTGCGGCGCGTCACGCGCGTCAGATGCTTAAACGCGCCCGACGCGCTGCTTCAGCTGCTCAGACGCGCTGCGCCTGCTGCTCAAAACGCGCTGCGAGACGTTTTGCTGTGCCTTGACGCGCGTCAACCATTGCCTTTGCATGTAAACTTCTGCCGCGCCTGCTGCGTCCGGTGTGAACGCAGCATAAGCCATTCTCAAGCACATGTCAAGGTGCTCATTTTGAGCCTGGATCCAGATTTATTGTTGATTCTGTTCATGGTGGAGAATCCTGCTTCACAGCAGCAGGTTGAGCCAAACATCCTCTAAATGTGCAGGGTCATCTTTGAGCACGCCATTTCACTTTTCTTTCACCAGTTCACCGCAGTTCTTCCAGCAGTCCACACTTTCTCTGCTCTTTTTTTCTCATGGTCTTCTCCTTCTTTCCCATCGCCCGGCTTGCCACAGGTTTGCCTGCTGTGTCTAAAAGTAGCAGCAGCAGCAACCCAGACTGACAGCTCATTGGCTCATTTTTTATCACGTGCAGCCTGGAGCCGGGTGCTCCGAATAGCTTTACCGTATTAACAGGAGAAGCAGCGCAAGTCAAGTTAGACACTGTTGTTGGACAACATGCAGTAATTTATAAAGGTTTTAAATCAGGTTGGGTCAGGATCCAGACCCTGGTCCGCTAATCTGTGACTTCTCTTTTAGAGGAACAGCTCCAGGTTTTGTGAGCTGAGTGAACAAAGGCTGGTATATTGGTTTGTCAGTGTGCCAATAAAGATTTCATTGTTATTGTTGAGAATATGTCTGGCTCAGTGCATACAGATACTGTCTTTATATCTTGTTCCTCTTGGTGAGGTTTGCATGCAGAGAAGTTTGCTGAATTAGGAGGCTAACATCAGCAGGTTTATT